ATCCCGAATAGAGTCCCAAAGACAAATGCAAGTACTCGAACACGCCCACAGTGATGTCTCCCTATGTGTGAGGTTGGAGCCTAGTGGACGTAACAACTGAGGTCCAGGACAACGGAACGGTAAGTATAACGCATCGCTTGATTTACGAACATTGCGTGCTTGCCATCATCCGGTCATTTTTCAATGACTATGCTAGACAGTAACCCCCTTGGTCCACCTCAACATCGCCCCGTCACCGGTGTTCTTCCTGTAGAAAGCATCATCACCGAAGATTCACCTCTTTGAGCAGTGCATAGATCAGACCGTTCAGGGCAAGGGTCATTCGGACGTTGCCAGACCGGTTTCGTTATCACTTTGGGAGATTAACGGTTAGGAAAGTATTTGTACTAATGAGCTCTCGTGAAGCCCCTGACTCACTTTGCCGTCAGGGGAGGGGAGGATCGCCAATCAAGCTCACATCGGCGCCATCAAGCATCTCGCATGGTAGATAACATCATGGATGGAGCAACAACGACTTAGCCTAGTCGCAGATTCCAACCCACATGTCCTGTTCATCACATCCGCACGCGCTAGTCCTACTTTCGCATGTACCGGCCACTGCTCAAGCTTCGGCAACCTTGAAACCTCCCGGCATCAGATCCGTAAATACCCTAGCAGGGTCATACTTGTTGCGAATCTCCTTTAGGCGGTCCAGGTTCCCCGCGGGATAGCTCTCAAAGACAGGCTGGCCGACGTCTGCCTCGTTCAGATAGTAGAACGGATACATCGCCCCCATGGGTTCTAATGTCTCCCTGATTCTGGTGTTGAACTCGCTGATAAAGGTATCAAAGACTTGGTCGTCCGCCTCGTCCGTCCAGCTATACGTCTGCTCGATCCAGCACGCAGGCGACTCGTCGATGCCCTGCAACGCACCCGGTCGGGCGTTTGTGGCTGCGAGAAAGGCCGACGTGATGGGGTTGAAGGCGAAGCCGATGATGCCGCCAGGCGTATCCTTAAAGGTGGCGTTCGCGAGCTCGAAGAACATGTCGTGGGCGATGAGCATGGCCTCCTTATTGGCGTAGATGGGGAGCATGTGGAACCGCTGTCTGGAACCGTAGGAGCGGCCGCCCTCTTGGAAGGATGGCTCGATGGCCCGGTGGTAACGCCCCATGGGAAACGGGGCGAGGGATCTTGAGCTGTTGTCCGGGGTGAGGATGTCGCCGAGGAAGTCACCCAAGACGGCCGGATGAGTGGAGTTTCCGTTGTAGAAGAGCGTCGAGGAGTACGTTGGCCCAGCCGTTCCACTGACGTAGGTGATGACGGGTAGAACAGCAGCCTTGGGATCATTGTGCCCGCTGACGGCGAAGTTGTATACGCTGTCGACGAATCGTTGCTTGGCCTCTTCGCCGCCGTACGAAGGTGACGCGATCATCACGGATGGGGCACGGTGTGTCTGGAGATCGAAGCGGGTGACTAGGCAGAACGAGTTCCCGCCTCCCTGGAGCGCCCAGAAGAGATCTGCGTGGTCGTTGGACGGGGTAGCTTGTACGATGCTGCCATCAGCCAAGACGCACTTGCCCTCTTGTGTCAGCAATCTTGGAACTCAGAATGCTCGCGCGGTATGTCTCACACACCTCATATGCCTTGATATTGCCGTTGGTCGACGCCAGCCCATACTCGTAGCTGAAGAAGGAGATGCCGCCTCCCAACAAGAGACCGGAGACGCCGATCGGGCTGCCCCGACCGCCGAGGACAGTGATTTCCGTACCATCGAGCGCCGTGTACACATCGGACCACCGGAGACCAGGGCCGATGGCCAACGTGTCGCGGTCGTCGGAGAGTTGGAGGGTCCTCATGTTCCTGCTCGATATCAGGATACCGGTGGCGCCGATGCTGCTTGCGTTGGATATGGGCATGTGCCCTCCTCCACGCATGGCGAATTCGACTTGCTGGTCCACGATGCGCTTAAGGCCAGATGATAGTTGCTGAGCGTCGAGTGGTGCAAATATGCAGGCCGGACGGAGCCAAGACCTCGCGGACCACGGAACTGGATATCGGGTGCCATGTCAGATTCACTTCTGGGCTTGGAAGAGTTCACAGGACGTTGGACTCACCTTGGACTTCCTGAGTGTAAGCTCCTTCTTCAGGAAGAAGAGTTGAGTTGCCAAAATCACCTCGGAGACCCTGGCAGACCTTGGTCGCCTTCTCTGCGCATGGTGTCTCTGTGACAACAGCAGCCGTGGTCAAACCCGCCAGTAAGAAGTAGAGAGCATGCATCGTGTAGGATAGAAGAGCCGCTGTAGTAAGTCAAAGTTCAGTAGCCGGGAAATGGTGTCAAGCTATGGATAGCCACGACCCCTGACGACAACTCCTGAGATCTTATCTGTTTTCGACAGCGCGTTGATCTCGTCGACTGTCCGATCATACCGCCGGTAGACAGTTGCTCCGGCGGGATGTCATCGCTCCATGTAGTAACCCAAGTGGCTTAGGGGGTAGAGGCAATTTCGATGACCCATTCTTATCATCTTACCAGTAAACTCAACATATCATGTTGGATACTTGACTAGCTGTCAGCCGAAGTAAAGACGAGATCCACTGTGCGGTAGTCGTCGGCCAGGCAATCTATCCAATTAAAATCATGGACACCAATACTGCTCTGGCCCATCACGTTTTCAATTTCGACAGAAGAGTTCGACACGTGCTGATAATCACGAGAAGCACTTGAATAGTATAGCAGCCTCGTGTATATCTCTGGAAGACAGTCGATGCTTATGTAGGGCTCTTCGCCATTGACGATAGTTAGCTACAAGCTTGCGAAGAACTATATGCAGCAAAGGAGAAAAACCCGAGAGGCTCTTGGGTGTCAGAAACATCATCTCAGCTTACCAGGAATAATACCAACAAAGTTGAATTGCCAATTGTCGGACTGGAAGTTTCGGCATAGCGCCCTCCAGGCTGCAGAACCCTCCAAATACCTACCTGTAAACGTAGATCCATAAGTTACCTCGTCTGCTAAACTACTACAATACTTCACGACACTCAATTGTATTTTGGAGAGCTGGCTGTGGGAACCGAGTCGAATAACTTCCGTATACGATGACGAAGAACGAATACGAACCCGCAAGGCACATCAAAAAAAGTAATGCGACCTTGATCGGGCAGGGTTGTCTTGGTACCTAATATATGTTCCGTATCGGGCCAGCAATTGGGCCGATGCCGCGTCCTTGCACTCGATCTAACCCACAATTATTGGGACAACTCTTTCGAGTTCATCCGATACTTTGCGAAATAAATCTACTCGATCTTAGCGGCTTTACTTCTCATTGGTATCATATAGATCTGCAGCTCTTTTGCAAGTATCACAAGAACCCAATTGCCCTGGCCTAGCCACAGCCTACAGACGTACCGCGAGGCTCGTGAGTACATGGCTGCATATTGTGATACTAGATACCTTGTTGATCCAGAAAGGCATTTCCTCAGATCACCACGACACCACATGACAGGATTGCCTCGGTGCTCGAGGGTATTCCGCAGTAAGAGTGCCATGTCTGGTTCAACTTTGACGAGGACATGCTCTGCGTTGGGGACATATGTTTGGGCGACTTCAGGACTGTAGCTGATCAAGTTCGCTGGCTATGACTTGAACGTTCCCTTGAACGAAAGCTTTTCCCGCACAGAATCGCTGTTGATCGGTAGACTGCTTAGAATTGTTGCTGAGGTTGCCTGGAGGGCGTCCGGGCGGACTATTCTGTAACCAAAGACCTCGATTGAAGAGAGAGAGGAATCAGGATGTAGAGTTGCAATCCTGCGTTAACTACCTTACCTCGAGCGACGAGCAAGCACACACTGCATTTGTTTCGAAGGTGCTCTTTGCGATTGAGAGCCAGCCAACAAGTCGGGCCCTTGAGTCATTGGCGCTGAACACAGGTTAAAAAGCCCATAGATTGGACAAGACAAGAAACTTCTGTGTTTCCAAACTTGGAGAAAGACGTACAGAACTTGTTCCTGTGTTCAGGTGCACGCAGCTTCAGCCTCAAAGGCAGAATAGCAAGGGTGATCTGCTTGAATAACTCCGCCTAATCTGCGCTTGTTTCGGGCTGTTCCGAAGCCTGACAAATATGTTGCCAAGACATTGTCAGTGCTTCTACGAGAGACAAGCTGCAGAGATTGTTGCATTGACTGCTAGATCAAGATAATCAGTCTTGAGACTTAGAAACGCCGCTGGGTGCCCCAAAACCCGGTTTTCCCGACGAACACCTTCTCCAAGAGGCATATTGTCATGAGAAAGAAATGTTACGAGAATTTCCATGGTCACTTCCAGTTTTTGATGCCTCAAATCTCTTATGAAGTTATGGTGTACCGTTGTGGGCGTTGTCTTGAGTAAACACCAAGCGATCTGATCGTAAAGGGGACTATGAGGATCATCACGAGCTTCTACCACCACATACGACCATACCCATTGGAAAACTCGGGATCCCGTCCGCTCTCCCATAGATAAGCCAATGAGGGCCGGATTAGTAGTTGGGTCGGTGACGACCAGCGAATACCTGGTGTTGTATGTTTTTGAAGTTTTTGGCCTTTGTCGTGATCTATTTTGGTGGGACACAAGGGACGACCAGAGCTAGGGACCTGAGGAATGACGCTTCTTACTTGCAGGCAGAAATCAATGTAATCGACGCCGGAAATGACAAAGCCTCTTTTTAGAAGTCTTTGCAGCGCATGAGAGGCGTGTGTTATACTTGCAACTAGACGCGGCTACCCCTTTTCTTTCCGCAACCCACGCCCTATTCTGACTCAGGGCATGCGTCCTTGGAATAGCAACATGATTTTATTGGTCGTGTATGAATTACGGAGTGACCGAATCCTTTCTTTCCTCCACTCTGGCAAGTTTTGATACCAGGAAACACTAAGAGTGCGATTTGTAGGAGAAAGACAAGGCTCAAACACTATGATGCTACCGTTGAACCTTTCCTCTCCTCATCAAGTACAACGTCAAACCCCTCTAGAGTTGCTAGTGCCTCTCAGCATCCCTCTTGATATTTCCTAACTCCACCTAGGTACATCAATTGCTCTCTCTTCTTGCCTGGGATGTTGGCTCCGTTATACCACGAGTCGGTCAAGGGCATTAAGGTCTTGCCATTGGCAGCCTGGATTGCCTGCTTCCACTTCTCCTCGGCATCCCGCTGTGCTTCAATGGACTTGACACCCTTTTTCTGGAGCTTCTGAAGAAGTTCCACAATCATGTCAACCTGACTCTCAATGAACGGAGGTCCATTGCTAAACGCCGTGGGTGCTAAAAAGACATGTTAACAGCCGGAAGGTAGCAAAGGTTTTGGTGTTGCAATAACGTACCCTGAGGCCCGTAGACCATGAACAGGTTAGGGCATCCATTGGAGCAAAGTCCAAGATGAGTGAAGACGCCGTCTTTCCACCGGTCTGAAAAGGTGATGCCATCTCTTCCTTGAATATTCATCTTGGTGAGACTCCCTGTCATGGCGTCAAAGCCTGTCGCCATTACAATAGTGTCGAATTCGAGCTCGGATCCGTCTTCGCCTGTAATTCCCCTCTCTGTAAACTCTCGTATCGGAGTAGCTTTGAGGTCAACGATGCTTACAGTGTCTCTATCGAGACACTCCTAGCAGTCCTACTCAAGACTGCTCCTCTTGGTCCCAAATGCGAAAGGTGCTTTCTCAGGTACAAATAATGCGGCCTTGGCGGGATTTTTGACTCTCGGGCGGGCCTTCTTTGCCCAGAAGTCGTACATGAGTCTGTTGGGCTTCTCGTCAACGAGAAAGTCTCGGTAATTCGCCTGATTGAAGTTAAGACCGCCACGATTCCAAAGCTCTTCCCAAAGTTCTCCCCGTTCCGCATCACTCAATTCAAGCAACCAGGCCTCATGCGTCTCGGAGTCCTTGAAGTGAGCAAACCGGAGAAAACCTCCCTGAGATGCGCATTCCACGCATCCGCCGCCTCCCCCTTGACGTCGATCTTCGAGAAGCTATTCTGTCGCATGAAACGAATGGTCTTCCCGATCCATCCCAACTGAATACCCACCACCACTGGCATATTCCCGAAAGGCACTTGGGGTCCACAAACCGAGAACATGTCGGGGAACCCGGGGATCAGTGTACCAGCGAAGGTATCAACCTTGGATGTCCAACATTTTTTGAGCGACCTTCCTTGGGACCCTTTGACATCTATCTCACTGAGAGCCCCAGTGCCGGCGTCAAAGCCTAGAGCAAAGATGACCATGTCAAACTTATACTCCCCGGACCCCGTGACGACACCGTTCTCATAAATATCATAAAGATCAATGCTATCGGAGGTGATGTCAACCAGCTGGACGTTGGCCGTCGTTATCAATGTTTCCACGTCTTGAGCGAGCTTCAAGAGATGTACGCCTGAGCAGACTACGCGGTCCGGTTCCTGGAGATGGTGCTGGACAGAATGAATACCATGATCCCCATGCTCAGGTTGAACTCTGGCTCTACATCACGACAAGGATCGCAAAGCTGTGAGAGTTCGACGACACTGGTTGGCGGTCCGAGCTCGAAGCGCCGGGCTAGGAGAACATCTTCTTCAGCTAAACCCCTCAATGCCCTATGTGCCGACCAAAACCAGTCGCTCACACCATTCTTGAGCTCCTATGATACCTGACCTGTAATAGCAGATGGGCTTCTCATGGCAAATAATAGCCAGCCAGAAGTGGGAATGGACAGCGAGCCACTATTTGGAAGTGCTTGGGCAGACGTGGATTCTCTGATTCCGGTTCTGATAGACAATGCCTCTAGCTCAGGTTACTACGACTTGCCTCATGTCCTATGGTCCGAGTTGAGGAAACGAGTCTGCTCCAACGTCTGCATGATTTTCTCTCATCTGAGTTTCTGCCTCAGACACAACATATTTGCCAGCTGTCCTGACCATCGGTGAACATCTCGATTGTCATCAGACAGCAGCACGTTGAGATAACCCTTCGTTAGATGAAGTAAGAATGGTAGGCAAAATGCCATCTAGGATTTCCAGTGCATTCGAACATTAGCTGGACAAAAGCTAAGGGCTGCCAAAAATATTCTCGAAGCATCCAGCTCGAAACAAGGTAACCGAAAGCAAGCGTCCATGTCAAAAAAATCTGCGAGTGTGCTCACTCATTCACACTTCCAAACATATGTCTAGTTTCGATAGTCGTTCCATCGTAGTCCTCCAACTTTGGACCATTAAACATAACCTGAAGACCTTTCCACATGATGTACGACGCCATCATCTTTTGGCGTACTATTGATGTTGGAATCCATCTCATGGTCGGCAGCCTTTCTGTACTCCTCTTCCTCAGCCCGGGTAGCGTGGGTGTAATGGACAGCCACTTTCTCGCCAAAGGCCTCGTTAATATCTTCGAGAGACTTCTTGGAAGTCTCGGGGAAGTAGAGAAAAATGACCAACAGGTAGCATGCTGTAGGTACAATGAGAACAAGGAAGAACCTCCAGGTGATTTTCTCCAGGGCAATCGGTGCGACCATGAGCATGACCAGCGATGCTAGAGCGCTGTTGACGATGCCAAAGGCGCTTCCCTGGCTGCGAATGTGGTTCGGGAAGATCTCTGTTAGATACACGAACTGCGTCGCATCTATGCAGCACCCAAAGAATGCGATGAAGAGATAGATGAAAAAGACGGCAGCATTCAGACCTGCAATATTGTCTGTACCGAGATATCTGGCCTGCAAGGCGCATTCACAAATGAGCGAGACCAGGATGCCAGAGATTCCCACGAGAAGAAACTTGCGGCGGCCGAAGCGGTCGAGAAAAAGTGCCGTAATTATGTTTCCGAGGAAGCCAACTGTAACCCAGATTCCGAGAAGGAGCAATGGCATGTAACCCTTCAGGCCAAGGCTGATGAACAGGAGAACGCCATAGTTGGCTAGAACAAGGGTTCCGGTGAGCTGGGCCCCCCACATGAGAATCATGGCGATGATGGTCCTCTTGCGATTTGGTGCAGTCCGCAAAAGCTCGTACCAGACGATGCCATCCTGGCTCTCTTGGTCTTGTTCGACTTGCCGTCGAATTTGGTGAAATTCCTTGGCAACGCGCTCGATGGAGGCTTCGTCGTTGGATGCATGCAAGCGTTTCAACACGATATGGGCTTCTTCGAATCTCCCCTTTCGCATGAGCCATCTTGGAGAGTAAGGTAGCATAAAGGACCCAGCAAGAAGAATTACGACGGGTGCTGCCTGGAAAGCCATGGGAAAGCGCCAAGGAAAGCTTGATGTAGAGCCGGATGCCGTGATGAAGTACACGCCGAAATTGATCCAAGAGCTCAGCGAATAGCCCACGCCAATCATTACACCATGTATCGACACCATGAACCCGCGGGTCTCTGGCGTGCTAATCTCGCTCTGGTACATAGGGATGATCTGTTGATGACTATTGCTTAGCAAAGTTCGGACCTGCAATTGCGTGTGGGTGGGGACGAACGCTGAACAGCATCCCGAGGCCAAATCCTGCAATGAAACGCGCGATCAAGAACATTGTAGTATTGATTGATCCAGCGCAGAGACCAGCTCCGATGCTCATGATCGCGGATCCGAGCTGCATGCTGTGTTTACGAGAAAAGCGATCTGCAGACCAGGCACTAAAGATTGCTCCAAGAACGGCGCCTGCAGAACCGAGGCCTATGACAGCGAATGATAATTAGTCATTTTGGTTGGAAGCTTTGCGCGACGTCCTTGGGAAGAGCCATAGGCCGTACCATTAAAGGCTCCGATCAAGGCACTTGTGGTTTCATAGCCAGGTGTGCCCGGTGGTGCCAGGTTTAGGGATAAGTCAACATACCCACTTCCTGGCACCCCCCTTGTTTCTGGCACCACAAAAACGATGGGATCACAACCCAACCTCCTCATTACTATTAACTATTGATCCTCAACCACACCCACTACAATACAGCTGCCAGCCTCACTAGGGCATTCAGAGTCGCTGGATTCAGCCGTGATAACCTCCTTTTCACCCGCTTCGATTTGAGCCCGATGGATATCCCTGATGTTCGCGAACTTCGTATTGGGATCG